CGAGGGAACACGAGGGAGAGCACAGACATGACGGGCGGGGGAAACATGGATAACATGAAGGAATAAAAAGCAGAAGAACTCACACAAAAAAACAGCGACACACAGAGGGCAAAGACACAAGGGGAGCCTAGATGTACAAAGGTTAACATAGAATAAATTCAGGATACCACTAAGAATAATGGACCATAACACAACAGAAACACAAGGGACTCAAAACGCTTCAAAAGGACCCCGAACCATGACAAAACTGAGCAATCATTAATATTTATTAATCGTTTTAGTTTCACGACACAAATTAGGTTCCTGCACTTGCCAAATCTCACTGATTTTATTACATTAAATTAATAAATAAGCCTGTGCTCATCCTGCAGTATAATTAAACTCCACAAACTACAAACTACAACAAATCACATGAGTTATTTTGTCCCATCTAAGAAAAAACGAGGGCATATACTGTGCTGCCAAAAATATTTGCCCCTTCATGATTTTTTGGTTTTTGAATATTATTTGTTTTATTTATGTTTTATCGATAAAACGTTAATTTTAACCAGTGATGAACAAAATAAATGCAAAATGCAGTTTTTAAATGATGTTTCCTTTAAGATCATGAAGTAATCCAGGTCTGGTCCTATGTGGAAAAGTCATTTTCCCTTAAATCTAATAACTGTTGTTCCACCCACGGCAGCAAGAACTGCAATCAAGCATTTACAGCATGTCTTTTGTATCACGCAAAGATTGGCCCAGTCTTCTTTGCATCTTTATTTGGTTTCTGAGCATGAAAAGCCTGTTTAAAGTCAGACCAAAGCATCTCTTCTTGGTGTATTTTGGTTCATTGTCTTGTGATCGTTGCTCCACCTGAGCTCACAAACTCTTGGCTGGACATTTTCATTCTGTTAACAGGGCAGAATTCATGGTTCCATCAATTACTGCAAGTCATCCGGGTCCTGAAGCAGCAAAGAATCCAGAGGCTTTCACACCAACAATGCCTGCAGTTTGCAGTGGTTTCTTCTTGAAATTCTCCCATGAATATCACGGCGCACAGTCTCATGCTGTTGAATGTTGTTTTGGGTTTTTGTGCCCTCCTGGTTGATGTGCTCATGGAGTTTTTTCTATTTGTGGATGATGAACTGTTGTTTGCTGGAGTTACTACACTTTTATTCCTATCCTTAATCCTCCTGCTGCACATCATTTGGACCTA